TGAAGAATCTTGATCGCACATAGATACTGGTTGAACGCTCTATAAGAACAAAAAATTAAATAAATTTTCCCCCTTTCTTTTTTGAAAAAAAAAGAAAAAAAAGAAAAAAAAAAAAGGAAGGAAAAAACCCCCCAAATTTTTTTTTAAAATCTAAACAAGGAAATACAATTCCCCAAAAAATATATACAAAAGAACACAAGGAAAAGGAAACATCTCTCCAAGCCAAAAAAACCAAGGAAACTAGCACCATTCCCTTTCAGCACAGTGCTAATCTACGGAACACTATTATGACTATTCGAAGACCATTCTATTTATCTGCTCTTTCTCACAATCGATCCTTGAATACCAATTAGGGTCATATCTATTTTGATGAAAGCCTTTCTTGTATACCTTATCATCATATTCTTTGTTTATGTGATCTTATTCTATGATACTTACTATTGTTACTTTCATATGAATGACCAAATCTTTGGTGTCACTTAACTGAGCTAGTGTTAGACCTCTATACCATTATTATCTCTCATAACGTCCTAGTACACTATAATATACTACACAATACCCACATTCTCTCACTAGACTAAGTCGCATCTTAACCGTCAGAACTGCAGATGATTGACCACTTTCTCCATCATTCTTTTGCACAACTTGCAATTACACCGACGTCCATACATGACTTCCTCTCCTTCCGACCCCCCCCCCTATTTTAATAATATATCAGTTTTACGTTAGTTAAAGTCATTCAGGAGCCAGTCTATATCATTATGCATCTTATACTTCGCTTAACCTTGGAGTGAGCCCTTTGATTTCCAAAATCCCTCTCCATGGGAAAAGAAGCACTAATCCTCTTTATCATAACCCCATGCTTGTCATTCTTATTTGTATGATACCAAATGCGTTCAATAAAGAGTGTTACCTTATTATTAAATATTATAATGTTTACTCTAGAACCTCTCTCCAACTAAATTATCCTTCACCACTACTGAACTCAGGCTCGTCCTGTAGCATCCAATTAAAATACACCATTATCCACCAAAACTCCATCCCCCATGTCCGCAAAGGTCTCGGAAAATAAGTGTCCATACACGACTTGCAGGGGACAACATCGTTCCACTACTGTACCCAGCCCCCTAAAGTTCATAACAAGACCCCCAATAGGCGTTGGTCGTCATCAGATCACCAACATCCCAAACTTTCTTAGCTTTAGAGGATGATCCCAATCCGTAGCCCAAATAAGGTTTAAAGACAAAAACCCTCTCACATCCAGATTAGCCATTACGCAAAAATCTCCACATCTACCACCTTCCCATACAAGAATGAGCTCACTTTTAGCAAGCTAATCTGAAGACCTGGCATCAACTTAAAACAAAGGAAAACATGTTCCAAAATTCTTCAACTACTAACTTATGCTCCACATAAAATCAATGGTATCATCCACAAATAATAAGTTCAACAGACACCGATCATCCCCTCTATGACCGATTCAATTGCAGTCATATCGATCATGGGTGACAGCTTTTCTCAAGCTGAAAACTAATAATTAGAAAGCAATACTAAAAGGCACTCCTCCTCTACTTCTACATAATCGTGACAGGACTACATACCCGCTTTTATTAAATATTCTTGTTTTCTAGGTTCCATTAGCTCTACTTTCAACCCACGAAAAAAGAGGGGGATCCTTTTCAAATTTTATTAAGCTATTTTTGTCTCATACGCTATACAAGAAGTTACACCAACACCCTCACAAAATAAATGTATATAGCAAACTTCAATTAGTTGTAAGCAAAACAGGGCCATTAGTGACTACCTCCATAAATATATTCCATAAGCACCCCATAACAATGATAAAAGGAAACAAAGAGAGTCACTCTGCCTCAAATCCTATACTCAAAAACGGCATGTAGCTACGGTGGTATTTGATAAAACTGAAACTAAAACTAAAAATTAAGTACTGAACACTAAATGTCTGAATTTTTAAACTAAAAATTGTTTGAAATAAATTTAAGTGATGAACTAAAACAAGCTGTAAAACATTGTGGGTGGTGTGGTGGTGTGTGTCAACACAATGTGGCGATGGTTGCTTGGGCTAATGGCAATGGTGGTGGAGGTGGAGAGTAAGTATCACAAAAATATATGTATTATGATTGATATCTGATTACAAGATATTATGTATACAAATCAGAGTGGTATATAGAGAGGGTTTGGTAGTAGGTGAGAGTATTATTGATTGATATCTGATTACAAGATATTTATGGTATTACAAATCAGAGTGGCATTGATAATAGGAGAAGGGTTTGGGTAGTAGGTTGAGGAGTAGTGGAGTGTAGTAGGTGGTGTGAGTAGGTGAAGTGTAGTAGGTGAGTGTGAATGGTAAACTTCTAAACTAGCCCCCGCAAACTCAAGGAGGATAGAAACTAACCAACTGAGTTTGAAAGGAGGAACAAAACCAAGAATACATAAAAAATAAAAAAAAAGGATAGGAACACTGTATGGTCCGTGTCAGACCATTGGTGAAACACTGGATGGTGTGGTCATAACGTTGTAGAAGCACTGTATGGGGGGTGTCAAACCGATTGGTAGAAGACAGTTATGGGTCATGTTCAACACCGTTGTAAAGAGCAGTTTATGGGGTCAGTCGGACCGTTGTAGCAGACAATTTGTGACAGTTTTGTGACAGTTTACGGAGTCTTGCTGGACCCTTGTAGAATACTACCGGCAATCAATGTCGAGACAGGTTTCATCAGAGTCTTGTACGGACCCTTGTAGAAACTAACGCGAATCTATGTCCGGGACAGTTTACAGAGTCTTTGTCGGACCCATAAAGGAGCTACCGGAATCAAATGTCGGGACAGTTTACAGAAGTCCTTGTCGGCCCCTTGTAGAAACTAACGGAAATCAATGTCGGGACAGTTATACAGAGTCTTGTCGGACCCTTGAAAAAAGCTACTGGTATCAAATTGGGTACAGTTTACTGAGGTCTTGTGACCCTTGAAGAGTCGCACGGCACTTCAAAAGGACATGCCCATTTTTGTCAAAAGGCGTGCCATCAAATAGGCGTGCCCAATTCATCAGAAGGCGTGCCATCAAAAGCGGCCCACTTTAATCAATAAAGGCCGTGTCATCAAAAGGCGTGCCCAACTTTATCAAAGATGTGCCATGAAAAGGCGTGCAGTTTGTCGGTGCGTCCAGAGCGCGCGATGCGCGTGGCTGCTTTGGGGTAAAAATTATAAAACCAAGCGAAGGCTGAGGCTGAAGGCATACCATTTCTGAACCGTCTGAAACAACCCTTCGCTGAAAAAAACTCTGCTCTGCGGAGAAGAAACTGTGGAACACTTTGTTGCCATTCTGTCACAACCCTTCCGAACATTAACTAGTCTGAAATTGCTAATTTCGCTGAACACTTAAGCAACCAAAAACATGGCCTCTTCTTCCGTCCAGCTACCCAGAACCTGCTCACGGCTCGTTCCAGAACTGAACGAGCCCACAAGAGAAAATAACTGGTGCGGAGGCCCAGTGAATCAACCAACAACACCTCTGGTTTTGGCTCCATGAACTTTCCGATGCGGTCGGTTGACAAAAAAATGCGATGCAAACTGATATTGAGGCTAAATCAGTATACTTGAAAGTCATTGCGTGGGAAACCATGAGGGTCACAAATTTGTCGAACCGGCTGCAGAGTAGGACAAATGAGGTGGCAGCATTTAAACTCCGCTGGCTCTGCTCCACGCATGTATAAGGATCGCGAGCAAGATAAGTGTGCTAAGGAGAAAACACGGGCTCGATAGGGAGCCACTGTGAATGTTCGATTTGGAGTCCGCCGTATGCTGCGTGGGAGGAGCAGGAGGAGTGATCAATGCCCAGTGGAGCGGGAAACACGGAGGCAACACCGGCAAGGGCGCCTCAGGAACGAGGCAAGAAGATGAGACTGGCGGCAGAGGAAAAATCCGCTGTGGATGTGTGTTGTTGTATTTTTTTTTTTTTTTTTTTTTTTTTGTGTAAAAATGTGATCGGGGTTGATCTCGGAGAGGAATAAAAGATGGTTTAGTTGTGCCAAATTGTTTTTTTTTTTTTTTTTTTTTTTTTTTAATATAATATAAAATTAGATATATATATATATATATATATATATAAAATAAAGAAAGGTGGGAACAACATGATTTCTTCGGGGAATTGGAAAGTGAAAAAATGAGAGAGAGAAAGGGGGGAACATGATGAGGAGGATGATAAAAAGAAGAAAACGAATAAAAAAATGGGTTGTATATGTTTAAATAAAAGAAGAGAGTGGGGTGTGAAAGGAAAGATGGATGTTAAAAAATAAAAAAGGGAGTGGATATCAGATCTGATTGTCCAGCGGGTAGAGAGAGAAGAGGCCGAGAGAGATAAAGAGAGAGCCCCCTGTTTTGTTTTTTTTTTTTTTCTTTTCTTCTTTATTCTCCTCAAGAGAGAGAATGAGTGCATAGCATGGAACATTATTTTCAACAGTCAAAACACAGAAAAATAGGGAGTCTCTTTAGTGGAAGGAGGAGGTCAAGAATAAAAAATAAAAAAATAAAAAGGAAAAAAAACAAGATGAGTGAAACGGGATGGTATAGGAGGCTGACGAACACTGTGATCAGCAGTACCACCTCTAATAATATCCGTTGCTTTCATTCAGGCGGCGGCTGAGCCTTGGGCTTCGGCGGACGGCCGCGGCCGCATCGCGGCGGCGCGTTGGGGTCGGGTTTCATGTAGTTGTTCTTGACCATGACGAGCTGAGCGCTCTGCTTCATCTTGTTCAAATGGTGAGAGAGAAGCGTCGCATACGCCGCCGGAAGGTCGCCCGAAGCGGCGGCCTTGATATGCTTCGAGATCGCCGACTGGTTGGAAACGTCCGTGTCGTTCAGAACGTCGATCTCAGCCATAATCATCTCCGGGTACTGAGGAAGAAAGGGAGGAGCCGGAGGCTCTCCAGCTGCCATGTCAGATATTTTGTGAGAGAGAGTGAGACTGTAGAGACGAGAGAAGGAGGAGAAGTCAAAGATCTCTGTCCATGGGCGGCGCGTGGCCATTAGGGATTGAGTCTGGGCTGTGGCGCGAGAGATGAAGATTGACGGTGAAATGATCGGCGAGGAAAATCAGATCCCGGTGGCGTACCCGGTGGCCGACTACGATTTCGTCATCGATGCTCTTCCCTCGGGGACGATCAGCGATCTGCCAATAAGGTATGTATATTTATGGATTGATAGAGATGAGAGCGGAATAGCTTGAGGTTCCGGCGGACGGCCAAGGTGAGGTTGCCGTCCGCCGGTGAAGCGAAAAATATTAAGTGCTTAACCTTGCTCTGATACCATATCAAAAATATATGTATTATTGATTGATATCTGATTACAAGATATTATGTATTACAAATCAGAGTGGCATTATATAGGAGAGGGTTTGGGTAGTAGGTGAGGAGTAGTGGAGTGTAGTAGGTGAGTGTGAGTAGTGGAGTGTAGTAGGTGAGTGTGAATGGTAAATTCTAACAGAATGGTTCCAATGATGGTGGAGGGGCGGTGTATTGGAGGTAGAGGGAAGATGGTGGTTGGTGGTGTTGTATTCATAGTGGTGATTGTGGTGGTGGAATGATGTTGGTGGCTATAGTAGCAGTGTCGGTGGTGGATGTGGAGGGTTGTAGTAGTTGTGGTGGAGAGGTAATGATAGTGGTTGTGGCGATGGCAATAGCCATGAGTGGTGACGTAATGATGGCAGTGGAGGATTGTGGTGGTGGGGGTAGTGGTGATAGTAGGGGTGTAAGAGTGGTGATGACAGTGGTGGTGAGGTCATAACGATACACACTAATACTTATGCATAAACAGTTACAAAATCAATCAACATTAAGTAAGATTCATGCTATTTAAAATTTTCTTAACTTTTACCCTTTATTTTTCAAGTCACTTAAAATTAACGAATTGTGATTATCAAACAGACTTGATTTTCACTTAATATATTCAGGTTTAGGTGCTAAATTGGGTTATCAAACACCATCTACCCCATTAATTGAAAATTTCACAACAGAAATATAAAAAAGGACCCGTGGAGGAGCAGGAGGGAGGCAACTTGCTTGGTGGTCTAGGAAGCACGGAGGCTGCACCGTCAAGGGCCGCGCAGGACGGAGGCAAGAAGAAGAGACCGGCGGCAGAGTAGAGAAGAAAAAATCCCGCCTATGGATGTGGTTGTTTTGTTTGTGTTTGTTTGTTTGTTTGTTTTTTTTTTTTTTTGTGTAAAATTGTGATCAGGGCGAAGTCCCGATATGAATAAAATGAGTTGATTGTGCAAATCCGAATGGCTTGAAGGTACAAGACTGAACAGAAAAATTAGATGGAATGAATAGAAGGTTTTTTTTTTTTTTTTATGGGATGAATGGAATTGGAAAAATATTAAAAATAATGTGAAAGAAAAATAAAGAAAAAATAATAAAAATATATTTGAAATAAAAAATATATATAAAAACAAAAGAAAGAATTAAGAATAATATGTTTGAAAAGTGGGGCGATGGAAAGAAAAACCGCAAGATGGATTGTATTAAGAAAAGAAGGCATGGGTGGGTAGAAATGAAATAAAATAAAAGATGATGATATTGGGACTATTAAAAAAACAGCAAGATGTATTGGATTAAGAAAAGAAGGCATGGGTGGATGGAAATGAAATAAAATAAAATATGATGATATTGGTTTCCACTGAGATCAAACCACCAAATGGGTATGGGTTTGGACAAAATAATAATAAATGAGTGGAGAAGGTTGGCCCACGCACACACACAGTGTATGATGGGTTTTATATATATATATAACCTCTCTGGAGGTCATGTACAATTTTGATCGAAAAATGATGTGGTGATTTTGTTTTTGAAAATTTGAGTCCAATTGAATGGGTCTGGGTCTTTTATTTTGACATTATGAAACCACAATGAGCCACATCCTATGGGATAATTTTTGTTTGAATAGCGTTACTTTTTCCCCCCTTTCTCCCTAGCGAGCCTTTTTGTTAGGGTGTTCTTTCCTTGTCTGTTTTCTTTTCTTGAGGATTTAGTGGCATTTTTGACTTCTGAGTTTATTTGCTGATTCTTTGCCCCCACCCTCATTAAATTGAACAGGTGGCCCAGGCAGTGGAAAGGGCACTCAGTGTGCAAATATTGTAGAACACTTTGGGTACACCCATCTGAGTGCTGGTGATCTTCTCCGAGCAGAAATAAAATCTGGTTCTGAAAATGGGACCATGATTCAGAACATGATTAAGGAAGGAAAAAATTGTACCTTCGGAGGTAACAATTAAGCTTCTTCAACGAGCAATGCAGGAAAATGCTAATGACAAATTTCTGATTGATGGCTTTCCTTGTAATGAGGAAAACCGTGCCGCATTTGAGTGATGAAGAACCAAGATCTCTGGAACAGAATCTCAAGGCTCTTGACGAGTTGGTGTCGGCCATCCGAGAATGGACCCCCATGGCCGGAGATAAACCCGTCGCCGCCTGTCTCCATCGCGCCGACGATTTGCTCCAGCAATTGATGTTCCGGCTGGACGACGAGTTCAGGCTGTTGATGGACCGAGGCTGCGAGTCCTTCGATCTGACTTGGTTCCAGAACAGTGAGTCGGCTGCGAATTACGCGTTCGAATCGGA